GATCTTGCCATCTCTTCACACCAGCCTTCTTGCAGAGGACCACAGCACTTGCTTCCTGTGCACCTGACCATCTCCCCTTTGAACTGTGGCAGCCACTGGGGACCTCTGGGTCCAAAGCCTGCGGTCTCTCAGGTCTCCTCCTGGCCAGTGCATGGACGCTGGCCTTGCCATCTCCACACTCTCCTCTGCTTGGCTCTGGGACACCTCATCTCCTTGCTGATCTGCTCCCTTTCCCCATTCCTTACATGTCAATATTGTGTACTCAAAATTATCACGTTCTTCACTCCTTACACTCACATGCATCTTCAATAGTTTTACGTGGACAATATCCCAAACTCCATTTCCTTGAGCTTTAATACAAGTGTCTATTGTCCATCTTTACCTGGATCTACTAATGCCACTAACTCGGTTCATGTTGGACTGAATCAGCCATCTTCCCATTGTATTTTCCGCGCCATGCCTCCCTCCATTTTCTGTATTTTTAAAAGGTGACATTCTTCTTATAGTGGCTCAAGATCGAAAATTCAGCTTCACCTCTGACCCTACCTCACCCAACATGTGCTATCGATAGCCAGCTTCCTTGGTGGCCACTTGTACATCTGTCAGCAATCTTATCTTTTATTCTCTGCTGCCTGGATTAGGATTCTGGAACAGACCCTGGATGGTTTCATTCCCAGGTCTCAAACTCCTTTACCACCGTGACCTGGTTTGCAGTCATTCTGGTCCCCATACGAAGCACATGCTAACCATACCAGTATTCATTGTTTCTAAATATGCATACCTCTTCATGCTTTTTCTCATTTCTTTTTGGAATGCCTTCCTCATTCCTCTTATGTCCCAAATGTCTGGCATAACTATTCTTTCTCTCTCAAGGTCCCTGGGTACTCAATGCCAATAAGTAAAAGAAACAGAAAATGTGTCCAGAGATACAAGATTATAGAGGCTGTGGGAGAATATAGTCTCAGAAAGGGGATAATCAAAGATAATATTGTTAAGGATAATTAATAAGGATTCAGAGAACTCCAGTGATGACACTTCTTGAAAGAGATTTCTACACTCAAGATTTCCAATTCTCCTCTCCCTTCAACCCAGTCAGGTTTTTGCCTACATCACTCCATGGAGTTTTCATCGACGGCCTCCACATTGCGAAATGACAACGGTCCATCCCCAGTCCTCCTCCAAATCTGAAGCCTCCTCCTTTTCATCTCAAGTGAGATGTAATCAAGCCAAACACTATGGAGTCATCCTAAGCACCTCTCTTTCTCTCAATCCCTAGCCCAGCCACTCATCTCCTCTGCAGTTGCAATGGTGGTACATCACTTTCATCTTTGCTGGATGACTGCAACAGCCTCTGGGCTGGTCTCCATTTCTTCTCTCACACCCTCCTCTAGCCTCAGTCTGCGCTCAATGTAGCAGTCAGAATAAGCCTGTTGAAACCCCAGGTCAGACTATGCCAGTCCTCTGATCCCAAACCCATCTCACTCAGAGTAAATGAGTAACTGTCCTTGCCATGGCTGACAGGCCCAGTATCATTAGTCTTATCTTCTGGACTCCCTTCTCTGGCTCTTTTTACACTAGCCACTCTGGGTTCCCTGATGTCTCTTGAACATACATAGCCTGTTCCTTATGCCTAGAGAGCTCATCTCCTTCTGTCTTTGCTCAAGGAAGCCTACTGTAACTGTCTCCCTTACTTTTCTATTTTTTTATATACTTGTCACTTTCTGATACATTACATATTTGTCATGTTTATTGTCTCTCAGTGTTTGCTGATATATCCCAAGGTCATTGTTCACTGATATATCCCAAGAATCTACAATAGTGCTTGCCACAGAGTAGATACTAAATAAATATCTGTTAAATGAAATGATGTAGGAACTTTTGAGAATAGAAGTTCTGTGAAGTGATAATGATCTAACTAGTTTACATGGGTCTAGAAGCAAATGCATGTAAAGAAACAGAATCATAGGGGATCCCTGGGTGGATCAGCTGTTTAGCGCCTGCCTTTGGCCCAGGGCACGATCCTGGAGTCCCGGGATCGAGTCCCACGTCGGGCTCCCAGCATGAGCCTGTGTCTCTGCCTCTCTCTATGTCTATCATAAATAAATAAATAAATAAATAAATAAATAAATAAATAAATAAATAAATAACTCTTAAAAAAAAAAGGAAACAGAACCATAAATGTAAAATAGTTTGGAATTTATCCAAGCCTTTCCATTCCTATATGTAGTCACTCCAAAACATGAAAAATACATCTATCTGAATACTTTTATTTTCTTATTTAAAATAAAACACTATATAGGATACAACATGGACCTTTTAAGCATCAATAAATAATGGCCCTGACATCTTTAAACAATTATAAATACTGACCATTCTTAAGTATCAGTGAACACCAATATATTGTTAGTTCCAGGATAACAGTAGATGATGTGAAATTTGACAGAGTGCAAAAACTGGTTAGTGAACTGCTTAGTAATCGACAAACCTATATATTTTTTTTTACCTATTTGCTATGGTAAGCAACAAATACAAAGAAAATAATATATAATAATGTATAATTTTAGTAATATATAAAAAAATAAAATTAGAAAAATTCAAATATAGTAAGCAAAAAAACACTGAAATTTAAAATATAAATAGTACATGAAAAGCATTTTTACATTTCTATGAAGATGACTCATAGCATTAATTTTGGCATATTGCCATGTCTTTTAAAGTTCTGCATAAAAGCAAACATAAAATTATTTATGGTTTAAAACTGTAATGGTTCAAAAACTAGCATACAACTGGAATGTGAAGAATGAGTTGAGGGCAGGGTAAGGGTGGTGTCCACAATGCATATAAATCACCAAAAATTTAAACAAGATAGCATAATTTAGTTTTCCCTAATTAGATTTGAAATTATCCTGGCTTCCAAATAATAATCTTTAAAATGAGCCAAAATCTTCATTAATTTCTTCAGTGAGTTTGAGCCCAGCAATTTAGTCTGTAACTTCTCTGAACATGAAATAGTAAATAATCAATTCGCTCGTGTATCTCTATAGTAAATCATATATATATATATCATACATACATATATATGTACATACGTACCATGTATACACATATATCATATATATTTTGGTTTAATTAGAATATTGCAAGATGAAAAACAAACCTACTTTACACCAGAAAATAGACTGATCCTCAATACGCAGGCTTTGCCATGTAGATTAACATTGATCTAAATGAAATACTATCCTAAAAATTAGTTTTAGACACTAATGGAGTGGAGGAGGAGCTAGCAAGATTATTTAAAGAGTTGGAAGATACTACACACTAAGTGTGTAGCAGATACTACACACTAATAATCTTTTTAATTATTTTGCTTAGTCTTTTAACTAAAGCATGATGACTGGACAGTAGCAGAAAGGTGGCTAGGAATGTATGGAACAAAAGGAAAGACTGGTTTCAAGAAGTACATGCTGTGGACAACTGAGTGACCAAAAATATATCCTTATTCATAGTAATTTCTTTAACAAATATAGTCATCACCACCTCACAAACACAATGACATACCATTTGTTTTTTATTGCAGTCTACTAGCTATCATACTAGTTTTAGAATGAGGAAGGCACATTCAAAATGGGCTTTAAACTAGTTGTGTTTGCCTATGAAAATTATAAAATAATATTTTAAAATAGAAATATTCTGGAAAAACAAATGCTTCCAATAAAAGACATACAGGTAAATTGATTAACTACATGCAATTTCAAGAGCAAGAACTATATTTACAGTTTTTTTTTATATATTTACAGTTTTGAAGCAGAGTTTGTATTCACTTTTGCCTTTAATTGCAATGACTCAGTGAGGTAGCAAAAACAGTTAATCACATTAAAAAATCAAAGTTAAACTTACACTCAGCTCTCTGCTGGGGTTTTAAAAATTTAATGAAGAATTATTTCAGTAGAATATTAATGAGGATTTTTAATTTCTTTTAAATATCTTACAAGAATTATATCACATTTTGCAAATTAAACATCTAAAATGTTTGAAAGCCAGAATAATACTAATTAGGTGAGAATATTTGTTTCTTTTTATAAGTTCAGTAATTTATTTGCAATATAGACCAAAACGTCATTGTTAGAATTTGCTTCATTGTACATACACAACCCCTACATCTTTGCCAGGAACCCAGAATAGGCTGGCTAGAGACTAGACTACACAGCCAATGGCAGTTTTGTCATTTCAGCAGCACAGTGCTTGGTCCACTGCCTGGCACAGAGCACATACGTATGGCAGAAGAAATAAATCTTCATGCCAGTATTTTGGTTGTATGATTGAAGGCTTTGGCTGGCTACTTTGTGAAATAGGTTTAATGTTTATCGAGGGATTCCTGTCAGGTTGCATGTTAGACTAAAGTAAAATTTAATGAGTTAGTAAAGATACTGTAGACATGCCAAAAATGGAATGTACAGACATACATTTTTTTCTTTAAATTATGTTATTCCTTGCCTGGTAGAGAGCTATACTCAAGTGTTTATAGATGACCAATCTGATACTTAATTTGCTTTAAAATAGTACAGTAAAAAAGTGGATCTGTGAGAAATAGGTGAAATAGAGTGATGTAGTAATTGTTGAAGTTGAGTATTAGTAATTGAATTGTTGATACTTAGAGGTTCTTTACACTATTATCTGTACTTTGTAAAGCTTGAAATCTTCAATAATAAAAATAAGTTCAAATAAATCTCCATAAAAATAGGGCAAAATAAAGGTATTTTCAACTAACAATACTGTATACTCAGATATTTAAAAAAATACCTATTCAAGACAGTTTATACAATATTGTCACCACAGCGAAGAGTTGGATCTAAAATGTGAATCGGTAGGGACAGTTAATATAGTAGACCCACCAGCTACGGAATAAATACTATGCACCCATGACAACAATTTTCAAGTGTTAAAGGAGGTTCCACGGCAGTGTGTGGGGCCTGATTCCATGTTCACAAGAGCGTGCAAATGTCCATCCATGTTCAGAGTGATTATCTCTGCAAAGAAGAATTACAGGTGTTGTTTTTTTTCTCTTGAAACTATTTTGTATTACTCAAATTTTTACAGGGGTATTTATTAACTTCATACTTGGCAGAAGTTATTTTCTATAATGATGTCCTGTAATTTTTCTCATTATGTTATTCTTTCTAGGAGTCTTAAATTCAAAGTGGTAAAGTGCTATACTTCTAAAAAATTATGAAATCTGAAATAGATTTTTAAAAATGAAAATGAAAAAAATTAAGGCATTCTAGCACACACATTTTTCCTCAACCACTTACTGAGTGCATTAAAATTAAGATGTCAAAAACTACATGAAACACAATATGATTGAAAAAACAGGAACAGAATTAAGCACCTTTTAGTTAAGTGAAATCAGGCTGAAATTCTACTACAGAAAGAAACAGCATTTATAAGAGAAAATAAAATGTTTTCTAGTTTGTTCACAGGGAATTCGAATTGAACATATTCCAGTAATTCTAACACAAAAAAAAATATTTGTGGATATTTTCGTAATAGGTTTGTTCTTAGAATAAAACAGATGGCAGAATGGAATAAAATGCAATTTCCAGATGCATGGTTTGTAAATTCAATGCCTTGGACTCAGCACTATCAGCTAAATCTCAAGTTTCACTTTTGCCACACTGCAATAATGTGGAGTAAATTTTAACTTAATGATTAACCTATGAAACATCACTTAAGGTTAATTATCTTGGGTAAAAGTCCCAAAGGTACACGTCCTAGTGCCTATAGAATCTCACAGTTTTAGATGGTCTGCTACTGCTATGCCGTCTTTTTGTCTGCAAAGACCACAGAGCAGTGTGGGAGACAGCCAGTAGTGTGACTCTCTTCACCTCATCCCTCTGTGGGGGCCTTTACTATATGCAACAGATTCTGTGTACAATCCTCATTCAAGGGCTGCACTATTCCCAGTATTTCCTATTTCCTTGCTGATTATAAGGCTTCAGGGAATTTAAAAGGAGCTATTTCTTACCAAGAAGCTGGGGATTCCTAAACATGGCAATTCCAATATGGATAATGTTAACAAAAAAATAAATCAAAATATATCACCTAAGTTACCTGGTGGATATTTCCTTCCTTCATATCCATGTTCTAAGCTTAAGGGATGATGAGAGATTTCTGAGCTTTTGATTTGTCCACATCATGTATCTGTAATCAGATTGAAGAATCACTTTGTTAAAATTAACTGTATATACTTGCAGCTGTGTTATGGTAGTCATTCTGTTTTTGATTATATTTCTAGATGATGTGGGGCAAATCATTTATATCTTTATTTAGGGGTTTTAAAGGCCTACCATATGATAAATACCCCAGATTTTTTTTTACCTTGTTCCTAGAAAAACTGGACCGTCCATAATGGATAGTATTGGAATGAGGTCTCTTTGAAGTTTTTGAAGATTCCTGACACAATTTTCTTTTAGACCTGTGGGATGTTTTGCTTATTATCAATTTGTGGTCATTTACACCAACTTTTATAGTTTCATTTGATTGCCGCTGTAGTACTTGGGCATCTTCTGTTTCTGTATCTGATTCAAAAATGTGTGGTTGTTTTTTTATTTTCACTGACTCATGGCCTTTCCCTAAAATTTGTGTTATATGTTTGCTTGTTAAATGTTCTTTTCCATTCACCTGGAAGTCAACAGCACTGTTCATTACACCTATCCTGTTCTTTGACATCTGAAATACTAAACTATTAGACAGATGTTTACTTTCATTTAAACTCATAGTTGATGATTCTCCATTAGAAGGGGGATGTTTTATATTTTCACAGGATCCAGTGTTTTTTTCTTGTAGAAGTCTAGAAATCTTCTGATTTAAATTTCTAGTATTCATCTGAATGTTATGATTAGATATTTTTTTAATAGCTGGATCTAAATTGAGTTTGTCATTTTGCATCACGCTAGTTTTAAGTGAAAAAAATTTAGATTCTGTAACAAGCTGTTTTCTTTTTAGATTGCCAGGTTCTAAGATATTTTTGTTCATCTGTAATGATCGATTTTTGAAAAATGGTATAAATTTAGGGACAATATTATTCTGGGAGGTGAAATTTGTGCCTTGAACTTGAATCTTTCCTCTGTTGGGCTTTGGTACTTCCATATGTACTTGGAGTGCCTTGTCAGGTAGGGCTTTCTTTCTGTTCTGAACAGCTTCTTGTTGGAGCTGCAGAGTTGAGGGTACCCAAGGCGTCTTCAGATGGCTGCCTGAAAGCTCCACCTTGTGGTCCACAGCTACTGAACACCATCGAAGATGCTCAGCCAGAGCAGGTCTTGTGGAAGGGGCCTGAGTCAGAGAGGACCTGAACATTTGTTTAGTGGTCACATTAAACGTCTTGGCTTTGTTTTCCTGAAAAGACAGAGATTAGAAAATTTTTTAAATGTAAAAAACGTTCTTAACGGAACAGAAATAACATACAAAATTTCAAAGTAAGAACATAAACACTATAATACATAAAACAGGAAAGAAAAACAAAAAACCAATGAGTCTTCTTGAGGAAACATGAATGCTTCTAATGGTTTGCATCCTTTTTAAGATACCAACCTTTCAAGATATTTTAAAATGAAGATATGTTCTATATAAATCAACTATTAAAACTACAATTTAAATTAAAACTATTAATTAAAACTACAATTAGCTACCTACTGTCCTCCAAACAGGTCCATGCTGCTCTCGCTCAGAAAAGTCTTTCCCTCTTCTTTACATTCTTTCCCTTTCAACTTCCTAAGGATGTGCTATCAGTGTTTGTCTCTCTCACACACACAAAAGTAAAGGGTGACATTCTTATCTTTCAGCATCCATGTTCCATCCCCCTATGTATATACTAGATTCTTTGAAGGTAGGAACCATGATATATTTATTCTTATATACTTCATAATTTTTAAAGATTTTATTTATTTATTTTAGAGAGAGTGTATGAGTACATAAGCAGAGGAGGGGCAGAGGGGCAGAAGGAGGGAGAGACTCCCAAGTGACTCCTCACTGCCCAAAGTGGGGCACTATGTCATGATCCTGAGATCATGACGTAAGCTGAAACCAAGAGTTGGATGCTCAACTGATTGAGCCACCCAGGTGCCACTATATTTCACATTCTTAAATCATTCACACAGTACTATGAAATATTTGTTCCAAGAAACTAAATGAATGGAAGAGGTGGTTGCATCTATACCAGGCCTTTAATAAGAATAAGTAGGATATTGACTATAGGGCATTGGCTGGCTGTGTCTCCATCATTTTGTATTCTCACTGCTTAAAAGATTGCGGGTAACTGGTAAGCAATTCAACAAGAATCTACCAGACTGACTTGTCAGACAGCTCGAAGAGAGCCAAGTATTTACAGTCTTTTTTTTTTAATGTGATAATACAGATAAAACATAAAATTACCATTTTAATCATTTTTCAATATACAGTTCAGTGGCATTAAGTACATTCTTCATTGTACTCCTGCTGTATAACCATCACCACTATCATTTCCACAACATTTTCTTCATTTCAAAGAGAAACTCTGTAGTTCTCAACAATTCTGGTTTTCTCTATTTCTCTAGAAACTCTATCCTACTCTCTAGGGTCTATGAACTTTCCCCCTCTAGGTATCCTGTGTAAGTAGAAGAATACAATTATCTGTCTTTTTGTGTATGGCTTATTTCACTCAGCATGTTTTCAAGGCTCATCCATGTTGTAGCAGGGGTCAGAATTTCCTTTCTTTCTATGACTGAATAATATTTCATTGTATAGAAATCCCACATTTTGTTGATCCATTCACCTGTCAATGGGAAGTGTTTATAGTTTTTAAAAATACATATCTATCGAGTCCCAGAACCTGGAAAAAAGTGACATGTGACAATAATCTGAAACATGGGATAGGGAGTTCTTTTCTCATCTTCCGGCATCAAACACAGAGTCACAACTTGAAACAAAATTTTAAAAAATGCTAGGAATAATGTGCAAACCAGATCAAATCGTTTTCCTTTCTCTACTGCTGGTGGCCTAGTTGTTGAGTGGAGTTAAGAGAAGAGTAGTAGAGAGTTTTGGGGGATAAGAGTTGTAAATAAGCAAAGAAAAAGTGAGTGATCCAGTTATTAAGCAGAATAACTATAATTTGGTGGTTCTAAACAATAATTAGGTCTCCTGTCTCATGATTCTGGGAGCTGACTTGGCTTAATTCAGAGTCTCTCACGGATTTGTAGTGAGAGGGACTCTGGGATGGGTGTCACTTCCTCACTCATATGATGCTAGATGCTGGCTGTAAACTGGACTTCAGGCAACCCCATCATGTGGTCTGGGATCCCAGAGCAAGTGTCCTGAGGGAGACAGCTTCCACTTGACCTAGCCTTGGAAGTCATGCAGCATCACCTCTGTCACAGTCCTGCCCAGACACAGGAGGGAACACAGTCTACCCACCCCCAACCTCGTAATAGCATAAATGTTGCCACTGATCATAAGGGCATGTGGATAGACAATCTTGTGACCATCTTGAAAAATGGAGTACACATCAGAAAGCATGCTGTGTCTAGCCAGAACCCACGTCATCTCTTATCACCCTCAAGCCTCCAATGTCACAGTATGGTTGGCCTACTAAAGGGCTGAATCTACACAAAAACCTGATACAGGCTTTAGGAAAGCTTAAAGAGGACATATGGCAGGAGATGAAGGAACCATGGCCCAATGCCTACTCCACACCAACTAACAAGGTGCCACAGCATATCCCTGTGGGTCTGAGTTATCACACAGGCTTAACAAAGATCTTCCAAGTGTAAATACAATCTTGCTCCACCTTTACATTTCCAATCACATGCCACCCTAAGCCAGAACTATGTAGAGAAAGGAATTCAAAAAATGTACTTCTATCATACTTAAGTTGACATAATTCAAAGTCACCATAGAGAACAATATTCCTTCTCCCACACCGGCTATTCTCTGAGGAAGTGGGAAGACTCCAAGAAAAATCTTGGATGAGGATTGAGTTGATGCTGAAAATAGATGAGCAGGGCTCACCTCTTGTCTGTAGATTTCTCAAGTTGGAGGTTTATTCATGTCAGTAGAGCAAGGAGACACCTTTCTTTACTTCCCCATAATTTTCAGAGGGAGGGCACAGAAGACCCAGCCAGGTTTCATGACCCTGAGTAACGGGACAGAGAGGCTGACTAATGAGTAACAGCTGGCTTATAACCCCCCAGAGACTTGCTAGCCTGAATGAAAAAACATGTATCAAAAAGTGGTTTATCTTAATTTGATAGGGCTACTGTAACAAGCACTGTAACTGAGGGGCTTAAGCAACAGAAATGTATTGCCTCAAAGTTCTGGAGGCTAAAAGTCTGAAATCAAGGTGGTGTTAGGGTTGGGGTCATGAAGAAAGTATCTGTTTCAAGCCTCTCCTCTTGGCTTGTAGTTAGATGGTCATTTTCATATTCACATGATGGTCTCCCTGCACATGTATCTGTCCCCAAATTTCTCCTTTATATAACAATATCAGTCATACTGGATTAGAGGCCCACTCTATTCCAGTATAACCTGATCTTAATTATAAATGCAATGATCCTGTTTCAAGCAAGGCCAAATCCTGACATACTGGGAGTGAGGACTTCAATACATGAATATGGGGCAAGGAGGACACAATTCCATCCATAACAGGGCTTGACATGTACTTCTGAAGACAATAAAGAGGTGATGCTGTTGTTCTTCTGAAGACTTTCTGAATAAGGTAGCTAGAAGAAAACCTTATAAATCATCTTCACCAAGATACCACATGAACAGAGACCACCATTAGACCAATCCAGGTCAAGAAACAAATGCCTCCCTCTCCCCTGCATTACTCAGCTGTGAATCTCTGATGGATATTGGTGGACTGGAGAGCAACATTCATTCTACCCTCTCTGTCTAGTGTTACTTTCTAAACCAGTGTCTGGAAAATAAAATGGACATTTTCTCCTTTGCAGTTAGGGTTCAGGATGCATTTTAGAATCAAGGAATCAGAAACACTCATTCATTATTTGGAAGGAAGAAGTAAGTGAAAGCCGCACTTCTGCAGTTCCTGCTAAAAAGTTCAATTATGAATGCCTCTGGTTTTTCAGTTGCAGAGTTAGCAGAAGCCAAGTATCAAGCTCACCATCTCTATAGGTGACCAGAAACAGCTTAGGGTACTCATTCTCCTGGACCATATTAGGCAAATACACCAAATGCCCTCACCCTACATTGCCTTTTCCTGTACATATACGCTATCATGGGGAGAACAATTCATTAATTTGAATGAAATTCCACCTCAAAGAGATGCTTTATTAGAAGATGTTTTATTAGAAGGGACTAGGTCATCTCAATATATTTAGAGAGATTTTTTTTCCATTTCATGAGAAAAGCATTCAAGAATTAAGCCATTTTTGACCCCTGCATTTTATAAACTGTAGTAACTTTTAAATATACCTACTACTTGAAATTCCGGAAGAAAAACTCATTCTAGGTAGACTCATATGAGAACAGAATTACTGGCATTCTGACATAAAACTTACATAGAATGTGTCTAAATATGTTTATGTTCACACAGTTTCATCACCATCTGTTTCAGAAACATATATTCGATGAAAATAACTTCCAAAAGCCTGTTTTGCCCCATAGCCTGTTGATGTATTATTTACTCATTCTTTCAATTTCTAAAATATAGTAGATAGCCCAAAGGGTGAAACTTCCAAGTTTATTTTTTTTTTTTTAAATTTTTATTTATTTATGATAGAGAGAGAGAGAGAGAGGCAGAGACACAGGCAGAGGGAGAAGCAGGCTCCATGCACCGGGAGCCCGATGTGGGATTCGATCCCGGGTCTCCAGGATCGCGCCCTGGGCCAAAGGCAGGCGCTAAACCGCTGCGCCACCCAGGGATCCCCAACTTCCAAGTTTATATTCAAAATTTATAAAAAGACTACAGAAAGAACAGCAAGTGAGATCATAAATAATTCATAGAACTTGAAATACTTAAATGGTCAACAAACCAAAGCTTTATGAAGCCATAAATCAACAAATATCTCATATTTTACTACATTATTACCATTATCCTGCCAGGTGTCACTGACAAATGTGGCTAAGTTGACTTTTAATTTCTAGACCTTCACAAACAACTTACATAACTTGGAGTACATTAACATAAATTGTAGAGGAAAAGCAAGAGCCTTAACTGATACTTAGATATGAATGAATGTCATTTAATGGAGTCCTAGAATTAAGGTAATGATTAAAAGAAACTTGAGGATTGACCAAAATGACTGATCAAATGTGTTTTACCTATTAAAATCTGGTTCTGTGTATTACACCACCTGAATGTTTCTTGATTAAAGTTGAACCAGAATTCAGTTAAGCTTAGATCTAACCACAGATTTGTAGGAAATAGAAGGTTTAGAATATGTTAACTTCAAACGACATAAAGCCACAGTCAGATATAGAATATGGGACATTCTCTAGGGCAAATGGTCCAGTTTTTCTAGCAAATAACTAGCATAAATAAAAAGGGAAGTGGGTTTAGACTGTTATAAAAGAGACCTAAGAGGACAATCAAATTAAAATACATGGACTGGGGCAGCCCCGGTGGCGCAGCAGTTTAGTGCTGCCTTCAGCCCTGGGGTGTGATCCTGGAGACCTGGGATCGAGTCCCATATTGGGTTCCCTGCATGGAGCCTGCTTCTCCCTCTGCCTGTGTCTCTACCTCTCTCTCTGTGTCTCTATAAATAAATAAAATCTTCAAAAAAAATTTTTAAAAAAGATAATTAAAAAAAAAAGAAAATACATGGACTGTGCTTAGATTAAGATTTAAACAAAGTTCCTAAATCTTTAAGATATATAGGGAATTAGAATATGAACTGGTATTAGATATTAGGAATTGTTGCAAATAATGTTTTTAAAGGCTCCTGTCAGAGATGCATACTAAAGTCTTTACAGAAGAAATAACATCATATCTTGGGTTTCTTTTAAAATACTCCAGTATACTCCTCACCTAAAACTATGTCAAAGAAGTGCTACATGATAGGCATATGAGAGTTTGTTATACTAATTTCTTTTATGTACCTTTGAGGATTTCTATCAATTAAAAAAAGAAAAATAGTTTGGTTAAGCATTCCTGCTAATTTTTTTAAAAGTCAGTTGAGTTTTAACAAATAGTCTGATCAATCTATTTTTCACTTTTTAAACTTAATCTTTTTAGACTGCATGAATCTCATAGTTTACACATGGTATAGCAGTAGTAGGAACTAACATTTACTGAGAGTTCACTAAGTACAAGGGACTGTTATTATCTAATCCTAAAACAAAAAACAAAACACCCTGTGAAGTACTGTAAAGAAAGTGGTCACATGCTACTCAGATCCCCTTCACAAAAGGGCTATTGCACCCCCACACACACACACACACTGCTGGGAGTTGGCCCCTGCAAGAACTCCCTAGTTCTAGAAACCTACCTCACCTTAGAACATGCCCGTCGTCCCTGGGTGGCCCAAATCCAATGACAGATGAAGGAATGGGTGTAAAGGCCTGGCTATTTGGACAATGTAAGATCACTGTGATGGGCTGTTTTAGCCTTAGAGCTCCCGGAAGATTGGCCAAAGCTACCTGGTACTCACTTTGCTATTGACTTCTTTTACCCCACCTTCTTCTAGCCTCACCTTCCATAGGTGTTCCAAGTTCAGTCCTCAATAAACATCACCTGCACTAGACTCCAGAGTCAGCTTCCTAGAGAGCTCAATTTGTAACAAATGTTATTATTACCACTACTACCATGACCTGTTTTACAAGGACACTGAGGCACAAGAAAACCAAATAATTTGCTTAAGATTACACACATAGTAAGCTCTAGAGCTAGAGCTTTTAAACACAGATCTAAACTTTTTCCAATTTTGTGACTGAGAATCTTCCCCTGAGTTTCAGTTCTAATTCTGCAATGTATTTAATTCTATGGCTTTGGTTAAATTATTTGGATGCTCTCTGCTTCAGTTTCATTTACAAAAGTGGGAAAACAATTTTTTATTCTTAGAGTCTGTTTTGAGGATTATGATGAAATAATACACATAAAAGAAGCTGGCACACAGATGTAATAAAAATGAATAGGATAAATTCTTATTGTTAGGAGCAATACAAAAACCAGATTTTCCAGTTAAGCATTATTTTACATTTAAGAAGCAAATTTGCACAAGTATATTGTCCAGATTCACTCTTTATAAAACAGTCATGGACTGGAAAAAATAAATATTCAATAAATATGTCCAATAAAAATGAATTATATAATGACATATTTTCTTCTAAATTCCTCAGATTTGGACTCGGCCAATAGCTACTAAAAATGTTATATCTGGCCAAAACTTTAAGATTCATTATCATAAAGATGTCGATTGGAATTTGTCCACTCACATTTTTTTTCTTTTTATTTTAGAGATGTATTTATTCCAGAAAGAGTGAGTGAATGTGTGCATGCAAGGGGGTGGGGGTGGGGAGCAAAGAGAAAGGGAGAGAGAATCTCCATCACACTCCTTGCTGAGTGCCCAGCCTGATGTGTGGCTCAATCTCACAACTCTGGAATCATGGCCTGAGCCAAAATCAAGAGTCAGATGCTTAACCCAGTGAGCCACCCAGGTTCCCCTCACATTCTTTTAGGAAATGGCCTTGCCTATTGGCTACCATTTATACCATTTATACGAAGTGTTCTTAATTCAAGGATACCAAATCCACATGCTGGCTGGTGACAGACAAGGGGGCCTCGCCTGAAAAGATGAATGGGGCCTATCAGATACTGGCCCTGGTGAATTTTATTTGAGGATCATAGAATGACAATTAGCACAGAAGCAGAAGTTGGAAAAACTGCCATGTGCCATAGGAAGTCAATACCATGTGAAACCTGAAATCACTGGAGCAGTGGAAACTATAATAAACAGAGGACACAGTTAAGAAAAAAGATTAAGCAGACACAGAAATATTCATATAATTCACATTACATTTCAAACTGCTCAAATTGTTCAACCTTTTGCTTTTCCCTTGTATGAAAACACACAACTGTCATTTATAAGAAAAGGTCACTGTTGAAAAATTTAAATTCCTATTTGTTTCTCAAAAACTTCCCTTTCAATTTTATTGTCTATTGACAAAGAAATCTTATTCTAGTGAGTGTGAATATAGGCCAGCATATTTTCTTCATCAGTTTTGCTTAATTGCTGCTACTTCTTTTTTTCATAAGATTTCACTTAGCATATCATCTTATAATAAAAATGTTACTGAATGAATTCAATTTCTGTAAATGGAACTATACAAAGGCTTTTTTTTTATCAAGCACACTCAAATGAAGTTGCAGTTCAAAGTAAACTTGAATTTGTATGAGACAAATGTTTCCAAACTATTCTGTAAGATCATTTATTCATTGAAAAATGCTTTTAATGAACACCTATTTTATACCAGGTACTTGGCATAAGAAAATGAACATGATCTCTGCTCTCCAAGAGCTCATGATAAATTAGATCACTAAACAACTATGACTATAATGCCATGTTAAATACAAAAAAGGTAACAAATAGCAGTGACAGATGGTCAAGTACAATAACAAATAGCATTAGGGAAACACTGAACCGACAGAAAAGAATTCTAGTACAATGGGTTAGATAGCCCCTCACAGAAAGCAAAAGATCCAAGACAGGTGCATACTAGGTCTTAGAGTGCTCAGAAGGACATGAAATCTCTTACCTGTACATGAGGTTTCATTAGTTCTTGTGTGTAGTAGCATGCCTTAGTTGTCATCTTTATGGGAAAGCCACATTATCTGAGGCAATTTAGATTTTAAGTCTGAAAGGAAACTTTTCAACACACCTTCCAAATCTACTCTTGGAAAGAACTGAATGGGCTGACTTCTGATGCAGCTGAGAGGGTATCTGAACACTGTTAAAGAATAGAACTTTTTTTGTACTAAAGAGATGCAATTTTTAAAAAAGATTTATTTATTTATTTTACAGAAAAAGAGAGAGCACCTGAACCAGAGGATCAGAGGGAGGAAGAATCTCAAGCAGACTCTGCTGAGTGCAGAGCCTGACACAGGGCTTGATCTCATGACACAGATCACAATCTGAACCGAAACCAGGAGTCGGACACTTAACCGACTACTCTACCCAGAAGCCCCAAGAGATAGCAATGTCTATGGAATTAAAAAAAGTATTACAATATTAACTGTTAAAAAGACACACATAACTAAATCCTATTTCATATATTGCTTATTTCATATTTTCCAAAGCTAAAAGTATGTTTTATCACAGGGTCTTAATTCATTCTATTTTAACACTCAGTATCAATACTGCTCATTGTGTTGTTATTACAGATCTTTCTATATAGACTGGCAGACTAAGATATTATGAAAATGATTTATAAGAAAGATACTATGACCTTTAGAGGTTACAAAAATAAGTGTTTATAGAAAACAATAAAGAGGTTGCATCTCCAAAAGCTGTAAAAATTCAGTACAAAGAAACAACACACAGTGTATTCAAGCTTCAAAAGCAATTCTTTGAGAAGAGCAGTTGCTTCTTTCTGATGAAAAATACTCCTGACGACTTGGAATAATAATGTCTTTGCCTTTAATGAAAGGGAGTATTTGATCCCTGTCAACATCAATTTTATATTAAGTTTTGGGTTAGGAAGTGTAAAATGCAGAAAGAGAACATTATGGCTCTTCTTCCAATTTGAAACTCCAGCAGGTCATAATACAGAGACTGGAATGTGAAATCAATACTGATTACAACTGAAGAGTTTCACCTGAATACTTTTAATTATTATTAAATTATTTAAAATAATGTTAAGACATATATTTTCTTAAAGCATTGGGGAGCATTAAGTGCAAGTCAGATCCTCTAAATTTTGCCTGTAAAATTAAATAATCTTCCAAAGAGAAAAATCTTTGTTAAAGACTAATTTTTTTAATTTTACCCTTTCAATAATATCCAAAATACCACTGGAGGGAGCCCTAGGCTAAGGAGAATCATAGGACTATTTTACTGTCTACTAGAAATCCTGTAAACATTTTTCTATCTAAAGTTCCTTTTGTTGCCTAAATTGTTGCAATAGAACTTAAAATAAAAAATATCATCAAGTTCTTTCTCAAATAAAAATAGAAAAATTCTAAGGAAAACAAAAAATATTCAAGCAGGGGGAGGGAGGAGTAGAAGGGAACACAGTTTCATTCAGACATAGAGAAGGTTGAAAATGATGACAACACTAAAGCCAGGAGTAAGGATGGATCATGAGGCTGGCAGGGGGCTTCTGTTACAAGTAGTGTGTAAAAGGATACGTGAAGATTCTTTCTCCTATCATTTTGAAGTAGATGCTGCAGTAAATTTTAGTATTTCCACAATCTTCTGGAAGTTTATAGCCATACTAAAAATTAGGAACAAAGATAAAGTTCTTTTGAGAGAAAGCTAAACTAAGATTAAATTATATGAAGCAAAATTAAATAGTTCCTACCATAATACACATTTCTATTTCTTACCAAGTCATCCCAGTGCATCCGGAAATCTTCATATGAGTGAAAAGGACAGTCAGGGGGTGTGGTGTGAAGAATACTTATTATTTGTCCCCTTTTCATACTAAGAAAAATAGGAGTTGATACAGTATTATGAGCCAGTGTTTGGATATAATTTAACCATATAATTTAATTTAAAAAAATACTCAAAAAGATTTAGCAGCCTTCTTTACATAATAAACTAATCATTTGCTACTAGTTCCAAGTACACCATTGTATTAAATCAGAACCAGAATTGTCAGAAAAAACTAAATTGAATTAATGCAAACAATGTGCCAGTTATAAACAACAACAACAACAACAAAACGTTTATTAAGTGTTGCCACACAGAAGTATGCCTGGTAACTGTCAGACTTTAGGGGAAAATCTGTTAAGTATTAAATGAATCAGAGTCAAATCTATGTTCCCTATCTACCTCTTCCCTGCTTTGATGATTAAATTATTATGCATATTCTGTTAGTTAATTAAAGTTCTTTTTCTTAAGCAGGTTAAAATTTCATTCCAATAGTCCTATTTATATTAATAACAAGCCATTTTCCCCTAAAGACAGTGCAAACTTAAAACAGCTCCTATCAAATGATAAAGAATCATTAATTATATGTAGCATTTATAAGGTTTTACTGATATTACTATAATAGTTGTAATTTCATAATTAGATATCTGGAAATTTTACTTTTGTAAAAACTATATTTAATGAAAATATAAGGGTATAATAAAATTTTTTTAGTAATTTAATACAGGAAATTGATGACTTCTGTATGACCCTTTTTAAGTTACAAATCACGTTCAAAAATTCAGTTTCAAAAATTCCTTTATACTTTTGTACACACTGATGCTGAAGCAAAATGAGAGAACTACTACATCTTGGACCTACCTCAGATGCTACAAACTGAAATCTCACCTTGGCAAAACGTAGCACCAGTTGTTTAAAATTGAATGTCCTTCAATGACAGCATTGTTGTTAGTATCAAAATCCTTTATAATACTCTGGGAAATACCAAATTCTCTTAGCTTTAAATAGAAATAAGATTTAATGCATAACTCCTCAAAAGAATTTGTCAAACAAGAAGAAACACATACACAGTCAATTACAGAGTAGTTTTAAAGGCTTAGTTTAAGTTGGAGGTACATAATACTTTACATAATGTATTTGATGTTTCAGCTCTCCCTACTTCTCTCTATACAACATATTAAGTATTTCATGCCTTCTCTCATTTTCCAACCCCAAACCTCTATCTTCTACTTATTTCAACTGGCTTTCAATTTTTTAATTATGTTAATTTATAGGAAGTTGAATTCCTTCTAAAGCAAGGTATTTACATTTTACATTTAGTAAAATGTAAATAGTATCTTAATTTTTTTTTTTTTTTTTTAACTAGAGAATGAGTTAGGGAGTTGTCCCTCTAGTTTGTCTTCGGGAATGAGAGTAGAGAGCTGATACTCTCATGTATCCCTTTTCTATCTTCTGGAATGCTTTTCCTCTGGTCCTCAGGTGACCTATCCACAGGGTATTTAAGCTGATAGTTTACCAATCCTTTTCTACTTACAGTTTCCTCACTCTGTGGGGCATTTTAATACAGAGTCAAAGATAAGAAGGACAAGTCAAAGATAAGTCCTAAGAGGACACTGTTAGGATGAGAAAGAATGGTTCATAAATCCTCATCCCCCTTTTAACCTATCATCATACAGCTTTTGGGAAATAACATTCTAACTTCATTCTCTATTGCTTTTCAATAAATTCCAGCTAAGCTGGCCAATTTTTCTTTTTACTGCCTAGACAAATCATTAGCATTTTATTTTATTTTTTTAAAGATTTTATTTATTTATTCATGAGAGACACACACAGAGAGAGGCAGAGATACAGGCAGAGGGAGAAGCAGGCTCCATGCAGGGATCCTGACGTGGGACTCGATCCAGGGTATCCAGGATCAGGCCCTGGGCTGAAGGTGGTGTTAAACTGCTGAGCCACCCGGGCTGCCCAGCATTTTAATAATATACTTGCCTGTACTCTGATATATCTGAGTTCTACCAGTAAGAAAGAGCCTTATAGGCCTAGAGCTAGAACCATCTCCTCTACATTCAGTGACATATCTTTCTCTGAAATCTTACAGCATTTATTAAGACTAATGGAAATGAGGCAGCACAGCAGAAAAACATAAATGCAAAAATATAAAGATAAGAACTGCTGGTTATGTTGTGAGGTAAGAGAACAAAGGCAGTAAGAATGAATAAGGATTCATATTGTCCTGTACACTGGAGGATAAATCTTGCCCTGTGACATAGTGTGCTTAAAAGCTAAATGGTCTAATCTGTGACCTAAGAAAAGGATGCTCAGTGCTGGGATGGCTATGAATGTCAGGAAAGACTGACTGCAGGTGAATAAATATATTATTTGAGAGAAAACAACCAAAGATTGAATTCAGAGAGGGTAGGTTTTATGTCCAAATGTTCAAAAGTTTATGAGTTCTCTTATACACCCACTTACATAGCTTTAGTTTATATCCTTCTGGCTATTTTCAACACTATTCAGAGACTAAAGCAAATTGCTGCAGAGATCTCCATGGTACCAGCCCTTAAAGTCTATATCAGCTTTTCTCAACCTGGATATTTCTGAAGACTGGCTATCCAAGTGTTCACGATATGCCTCCAAGAGACAGTTAACCTCTTACATTTATTTAACAAATACTTAAAATGTGTCCTTTTCTGAATAGACCTGCACTAACAAGGTACTCAGGAAATATCACTTCTTCCTTATGCCAAGCTACAGGAATTTGGATTTTATTTGCTCCAGGCAATGTTGAGATACTAGAGAACAAAAATAAGACAAAACCTAGACTCTCAAAGAGATCACAAAACTTAATAGGAACAGAAACATGTATGAAACTAATTTTTGCAAGAGTCAGAACATGAAAATTGCCGTATCAAAAATTTAGGTAAAGTGAGATTTAGAGAAGCTGATATCAATTATAATTTAGGGAATCAACTACAGAACACTTCTGAAAGAAATTGAGGAAGACACAAAGAGATGGAAAAATATTCCATGCTCATGGATTGGAAGAATTAATATTGTGAAAATGTCAATGCTACCCAGGGCAATTTACACATTTAATGCAATTCCTATCAAAATACCAAAATATCAAAATGGACTTTTCTTCAGAGAGTTGGAACAAATTATCTTAAGATTTGTGTGGAATCAGAAAAGACCCTGAATAGCCAGGGGAATTTTAAAAAAGAAAACCATAGCTGGGGGCATCACGATGCCAGATTTCGGGTTGTACTACAAAGCTGTGGTCATCAAGACAGTGTGGTACTGGCACAAAAATAGATACATAGGTCAATGGAACAGAATAGAGAATACAGAAGTGTACCCTCAACTTTATGGTCAACTAATATTCAACAAAGCAGGAAAGACTATCCACCAGAAAAAAAGACAGTCTCTTCAATAAATGGTGCTGGGAAAATTGGACATCCACATGCAGAAGAATGAAACTAGACCATTATCTTACACCATACACAAAGATAAACTCAAAATGGATGAAAGATCTAAATGTGAGACAAGATTCCATCAAAATCCTAGAGAACACAGGCAACACCCTTTTTGAACTTGGCCACAGTAACTTCTTGCAAGATACATCCATGAAGGCAAGAGAAACAAAAGCCAAAATGAATTATTGGGACATCATCAAGATAAGAAGCTTTTGCACAGCAAAAGAAACAGTCAACAAAACTAAAAGACAACCTACAGAATGGGAGAAGATATTTGCAAATGACCTATCAGATAAAGGGCTAGTTTCCAAAATCTATAAAGAACTTATTAAACTCAACAGCAAAGAAACAAACAATCCAATCATGAAATGGGAAAAAGACATGAACATAAATCTCACAGAGGAAGACATAGACATGGCCAACAAGCACAGGAGAAAATGCTCACTTGCCATCAGCAAAATACAAATCAAAACCACAATGAGATACCACCTCACACCAGTGAGAATGGGGAAAATTAACGCATGAAACAACAAATATTGGAGAGGATGTGGAGAAAGGGGAACCCTCTTGCACTGCTGGTGGGAATGTGAACTGGTGCAGCCACTCTGGAAAACTGGGTGGAGGTTCCTCAAAGAGTTAAAAATAGATCTGCCCTACGACTCAGCAATTGCACTGCTGGGGATTTACCCCAAAGATACAGATGTAGTGAAACGCCGGGACCCCTGCACCCCGATGTTTCTAGCAGCAATGTCCACAATAGCCAAACTGCAGAAGGAGCCTTGGTGTCCATCGAAAGATGAATGGATAAAGAAGATGTGGTCTATGTATACAATGGAATGATAAAGAAGATGTGGTCTATGTATACAATGGAATATTACTCAGCCATCAGAAACGACAAATACCCACCATTTGCTTCGACGTGGATGGAACTGGAGGGTATTATGCTGAGTGAAATAAGTCAATCGGAGAAGTACAAACATTATATAGTCTCATTCATTTGGGGGAATATAAAAAAATACTGAAAGGGAATAAAGGGGAAAGGAGAAAAAATGAGTGGGAAAGATCTGAGAGGGAGACAGAACATGAGAGATTCGGGGATCCCTGGGTGGCGCAGTGGTTTAGCGCCTGCCTTTGGCCCAGGGCACAATCCTGGAGACCCGGGATCGAATCCCACGTCAGGCTCCTGGTGCATGGAGCCTGCTTCTCCCTCTGCCTATGTCTCTGCCTCTCTCTCTCTCTCTCTCTCTCTGTGTGTGTGTGTGTGTGGCTATCATAAATAAATAAAATTAAAAAAAAAAAACCTTAAGAGACTCCTAACTCTGGGAAACGAACAAGGGGTGGTGGAAAGGGCGTTGGGCGGGGGGTGGGGGTGACTGGATGACAGGCACTGAGGGGGGCACTTGATGGGATGAGCACTGGGTGTTATGCTATATGTTGGCAAGTTGAACTCCAATAAAAAATAAATAAAAAAACATAAAATAAATGAACAGAAAAAGTGTGTATTGAGCATATAATGTTGAGCAGAAGAGAGGGGTGCATCTTCCCCATTTCTGATGTTCACTTCCATGCTGAGAAAGTTCTAGTACATATTCCTGATGTCTCTTTGCCCTTCCATTCATTCCTCCCTAGGCAGATCAGGTGACTTATCTGGTTGGAAAAACTGGGACAGTTCCTTTCCCTTCCTCTTGGGAACTGGTCTGTTGGCATGAAGTAGTACACTGCATTGTCATACTGGGAATCGTGCCTGATCTCTTAAGAGAGCCTGGGGGTTTATTACTCCCACAGGTAGGCAGGGAATCTACCTAATTCTAGGGTTCAGATAGGCCACATTCTCTAATAACTTTTTTTCTAACAATGAACAGGATGACCATTTATCTATTAAAATAATAAAATGGGAGACTAAACTTGAACATTCATTAGGCAGACAAAACCAGACAAGCCACATAAATAAAACCTAATCTAGCTCATTCTGTAACACAAATGAAATTTAACTTCAATTATTTCTTGTAAATACGTCTAAAAATCATAAAACTTATATTGTTTTCCAAAATGGAGTAAGATAATCGCTTTTAACTAATCCCCTGTCATTTGGAAAACCCCATTACTATAACCAATCATTATAAAGATAAAATAGCTCCCACGTATTCATTACATAAGCTGTCCTGCAACAACACCCTTCTGAGTTTCATAACACTGTTGGTTTGAAGACTCTTGGTTCAAAGAGTCTTATTCTTTTATGTACAATAAACTCCAAAAATACAATTTTAATTGACCTGATTTTATTTTTAACATACCCTCCAGTTTATGTATATTGGGCCAGTATCCCAGTAAGTTAGTTTCCCTTTCACTCTCAGAAGTATCCATTTGGGATCATAACTTATATTCTCATCCTAGTAATAAAGATGGTATTCTCATCTCTATAGGCCTTATTCTTCGTCAGTCTCTAACTTATTCAAAACTATATATATAAAACACAAGTATCATCTGTAGAAAATTCAAAGGGCAGTAAGACATGATGTTAGTCCTTAAGAAGCTTATTATAAATTTGGCATATAAAAATGAGTATAATTCTAAATGTACAAATAAGTGAGCATGATGTAGAACAGAATGAAAGTTTAAAAGAGGCTAGGAGGTCACACTGGCCCCAAGCCTTGCAAAGGTTCCTCATCAGTACAAGACAGTCATGTCATCCTGCCCATTCCATTTACTGTTATGCAGGTCAGTTTCCCTACTGGCTCACACAATTCTTGAGGGCCAGAAAGTAGATTCTATTTATTTTTAACTTGCCTATTGCCTCAACACAGTAGAAATCAAAAAACTAAAGTTAAGGAGAAGTATGAATGGAGTTAGCATTGGATCTGGCCCTTAAAGGATAGGCAGGATGTATAGCTAATGGGAGGATCACTTTAGGCAAAGGAGGAATGATCTGTTTCAACATGGACACTACTGATACTTTGGGCTGGAAAATCTTGTGTTGGGGTGGAGGTAGGGTTGCTGTCCCATGCACTGCAGGATTTTTTTAGCAGCATCCCTAGCCTAAAACCACTAAATACCAGTAGCAACACACCCATTCCCCTTTGTCATAACCAAATTTTTCTGTAGACATTACCAAATGGCTCATGAGGAACAAAATAATTCATTTTCTTCTCCACCCTCCTCTACTGAGAACCACTGCCACAGAAGAAGGAAAATAATATTTGAGTTACTATTAATGTATAAGTTTCCATGCTGGATGCTATGAGAATTAGTAAAATAAAAGACCTATTCCACTAAGAAGGGAAAAAGTATTAATGTATATATATATTTTTACAAATATAAAAAATGCTACCAGAATGCTAATGAAGGGATATTATACTTAGTATGAGCTGAAACAGTCTTTTTAATATTTGGAGGTGAAAGAAGAGGCAGAAGAGGTGAATGCTGAAGCACAGTAGGGTTGTGGAGAGTCTCTACCGTCATCTAAAAAGATTTCTGAGCAAGAGAATACTACGATTAAAGCTGTGTCAGAGGTGCCTGGGTGGCTCAGTCGGATAAGCATCTGCCTTCGGCTCAGGTCATGATCTCAGGGTCCTGGGATTGAGTCCTGCATCAGGCTCCCTGCTCAGTGGGGAGTCTGCTTCTCCCTCTCCCTCTGCCCCTCACCCCTGCTTGTGTTCTCTCTCTCAAATAAATAAAATCTTCAAAATAATTTAAAAATCTGTATTAAACTAACAGAATATTTTCTTTGAGTAAACAGATTTAGAACAGTATCAATATGTCAAGCATTTAATAATATGGATTTTGGTAATAAAACCCTTCTTATCACTCTTCTTGTTAAAAATTAAAGCCTACTAGCATATTGCTAATAAAGCATACAGTAAGTATAATAAAGTTAATTACAGAAATCAAAATATATGGTACCTCAGGTGGTGGCAATCTGATTGTGTAAGCTTCTATACTTAGACAAACTTGAGTTTCAGTTACATTGATGTCTAATACTGAAAACAAAATATTTAACTGTGATTTTCTGGAATTATTACTTCATTTTATTAAAATTTAGTAACAAAAAATAGCTTTAACTTAAATTTATTCACATTAGAAGCTCAATTAAGAATATGTACTCTTTTCCATTCATGGTAAAATCCAAAAAAAATCACAATATTTGAGAGTCTGCAGATGAGCCAGAGGTTTGGAACAACACAGATATATGGACATGTATGTGTTGGTGGGAGGCATCACAGGGCAAGGCTATAGTAAGAATGAGACATCCCACAGTTGAGAGAAAAATTCAACAAGCAACTTTTAGAAGCCTGATTTCTATTACATATGAAAAATGGAGACTGTTTTCTTATATCAGGAGAGGTGCCATGCCAAGCTCCTAACTCCATAGTCTTTTCATGAAGACCCATCAATATACCCTCAGATATAATACGGATCTCATAAAGCCCCAAGGCTTCTACCTTGCATTCACATAATTAGAATCACTTACATAAGTCAGAAAGTGGTTTATCTTGGGAAAGGGTAATACTTGGAAGAAAGCACGAGGGGATCCCTGGGGTACTGGTAATATTCTGTTTCTTGATTTGAGAAATAGTTATGAGAATATGCTTAGTCTGTGAGCTATAATTCAATGAGCTATACATTTATAATTTGCAAGGTCTGCTATAGAATATTACGTTTGGCAAAACTAAAAGAAAATTTCTAACACAAGAGTGAGGAATTTTGCTCTTCTAAACCTTATCTTTAACATCTGACAGTATAGTGTCTTGACAGTTTGGGTATGAAACTGAATTTCTGTAATGAAACTATTTGTTCAGAGCTAGAGCACAATGACTGCCACTGTTGAACTTAAACATAACATTAGGGCAAAGAGTGCAAACAGGCTTCAGCCTGAAAGTCAACTCAAATCAAATAGTTGTGGAGTAAAGGTGCTAGCTCAGGATTTAAGGCTATGCCCAAATTGCGGTGAAAGCTCTACCGTCTGCTATCTGTGGACTACGTTTATGAACAGGTCTACTTGCAAAAAAGGCCATGCTTATCAATGAAAGAATCAGACCACTCTATAAACTGTGTATTTTAGATCTCTGTCTCTTTAAACAACCTTTTTTTTCTCTCTTTTAAGGAAAAGAAGAATTATGTTCTCATAAAAAATATATCTTTTACTTACAACAGTACTAAAGAATTTTCAATGATATGACTCTGTAAAGTATACAGTGCCTGAAAATTTAACTTCAGAGTGGTAATTGTAATTAAGTAGAGAAATTAAAAATATAGATTTTATTCCAATTAAGAAAAGTAAATTTTTTCTCTAGTAATTAAGAACATATACTGTGACCCAGAGAGGATGTACTGGGTCAAATCGTGATTATAATAATACCTGATTAAATTCTGATAATCATCAATATTGTAACAACCCAACATTCCATAACATTTTAATGACTATAACCATATTAACGTTTTATCTAACGACATATGCATTTTTACTTACCAACAGCACTTTGCTTTCCCATTTGAGAAAGAAATTCTCTTCCTTAAAAAATTCATAGGGTATGCCATATTATTATAACTTATAAACCATGGTTGATAAATAAAACTTTTTTATGTTTACTTATCAAAGCAAAGGAAAATACTTTAAAATGTAGTTTTACGCAAAGGAATATCTAAAGACAATTCAGAAAAAAAATATGACCACTCAAAAAGTATCTTTTCAATTAAAAAGACAGAAATACCCAATTCTTCCTTCTAATATTTATTTCCTGGCATAAAAATACTTATAAAATGGTCAGACCTCAATACAAAATCCAGAATAGCCTTTTGGTTCCAACAATTGTTGGTAATTTGTATTTATTTTATTATAATGCTCCATAGCTTATATTTATTCCTTCTTAAACATCAAGTATTACATAATTTAAAAAAAATTCTTTGAAAGAAACATCAGGAGGCCTCTGGATATTATCCTAAGTAAAAGATGACATGATGTTACGGACTTGCCTGAGAAGGCTTAATTGGGACTATGCTTTAAAAACTATTCCCTAAAAATAATATATCTTGACATTTAAAACAGATGCCTAGAATAGAAGTAATCTAGTTTAGAAACCTCCAATGACTGAAAGAGATGAAGTCACCTTGCACCAAAAGATGGCCAGTTTTATTCCAGGCTGGAGCAAGTCTAGACATGAGTGAATATGAAAGGCAGTTTTGAAGAATTACAGGAATTACTCTTTGTGGAGCCTCTACCTAAACATATTAAAGAATAAAACATAGGAAAATTTACAGCAATTGGTATATTTCTATAAACTCAAAGAAAATGTGTTTAGATCACCATCCAAAAAACTGGGTTATTTTAGATATGAGTTATAGTCATCACTACAGCTAATCCTATCTGATTCTAAAGTTAAAGAAGCATTCAAACGTATTTGCTCTGAAGCCATGAAGACTATCATGTCGCAATAGCCAAATTCTCCCTCCTTATCCTGGACCAATAAGCCTAAATACTTAGAGCTCCTGTGCTAGGTCCCTGCACTATACTTTGAATTCTGCTCTGCACAGAGGAAACCAGCCCAGAGCTGTATTAGAATTTTCATTGTTGTTTACTCTAATTCTACATCAGAAAACAAATACTTTCATGGGCACACATGAGACGAGCAGACTATCTCTACCTGTAGTGAATTTTTAAAAATCAAGACTTTTACTTCTAAGAAGAATACAATCCAGATTTATCCTCCCACCTGAGGTAACTAAAAAACTGAGCAAGTTACAGGAAACAATGGTTTCCATTCAGCAACAAAGAGGAGCAATCCTTAAGAGGAAATCTACAATTACCTCCAGCATGTTGATTAAAGAGCAGTTTCTAGGCTGTGGTGCAGTGAGGAGGAACCCTGGAAGAGCCAGTGGGCTATCTTACATGAGGAGACAGCTGAGAGCTCAGGAGGCCAAGGGAGCTAGTTTTGGGGGCAAAGTATTAGAGGGGACAGAGCTGCACAGAGAGCAAACTCTTATGACCAGCAGAGTCCCGCTTGAGTCATCAGCTGAGCATGGATTAGCACGTGCATGTAAGGAAAATATCCAGGCTAGGGGAAAAAAAAAAACAAGGTTTTCTTCTATACAAACATCCTCACAAATACAGTACAAAAGAAAATGCCACTGCCACTCCTAGTCAGACATGTAGGAAAATGAGAGGACCAAGGAGAATTGTTTCCCAATATTATTCACCCCCCATTTTTGTACCATTTTGGTTCCTGGTGAATTTTCCCAGGATACAAGTAACCAAACTGTTGGCAATGAAGACTAAATCCATTCAATTTGTTTTGTAGATATTTTAATTCAGGATATTATCGATAGGACTTCAAGCAGCAGGATGAAGCCAACCTGCGACACTAACCTCAAACATGAACACAGGGTTTCAGGGCTAAACTGAACAAATCCCAATAACTACCAGGATCTTCCTTAGAAAGCCAAATGGCATTCTCCTTGATTCTGTATTGACTTTCTTCTTGGACTGAAGCATTAACCCAGGTACAGAAGAATCTTATCAGCATATATTTAGTTTTGGCATACAAACAAGGAGAACTGTAGGGCAATTCTGTCATCCATAACCATCCTGACCTGGATGCCATTCAGGCCAAAGATGGTGCCACTGACCACTGCAGCTAAAGTCAGGGCCAAATTTTTATCACGTTTTGATATAACAGGTAGATAGAAAATAAGGATAAAGTAGCTTAACAATACCATCAACCACTGTGACCCAATTAACATTCACAGACTACTTGACACAAAAATAGAATACACATTGTTTATAAGTAGACCAGGGATATTTAACAAGGAAGACCATAAAACAAATTTCAATAAATTAAAAAAAGGTTCAAGTTATACAAAACATGTTCTCTAGCCACAATTATAATAGAAAACAGTAATAGAAGGATCCCTGGAAAATCTGAATATGTGAAAACTACATAACACACTTACACTAACCCATAGTTCAAAGGGGAATTAGAAAGCATTTTGAACTGAGGAAAATCAAAACAAAGCAAATACTTAGGAGGAAATTAATAGTAATGACCAAAATGAAAAGCAATGAGATACGAAATAGTACCTACCAAACCAAAAGCTTATTTTTTGTAATCAATAAACTTGCTAAACCTCTAGCAAGACTGATTAGGGAGAAAAAAACAAAACAGTCACAACATGATGGATATCAGGAATGACAAGTGACATGACTATAAATTCTACAGCAAAGGAAATTAAAAGGAGTATTATAAGCAACTTTATGTCAACCTATTTAACAAGTAAATGAAATGGACACATCCCTTGAAAGAGATAACTTGAATAGTTCTAGTATCTATTAAAGACATTGAAATTGTAGTCAAAAACCTTCCCATAAGGAAAATGTCAGGCCCAGATAATTTAATTAGTGAATTTTATCAAGTATTTATACAAGAAATAAAAATTCTGTACTAACTCCAGAAACTAAAAAGGTGGACTCTTTTACATGCAAAGCATTAACTTATGAGAAAGATATTTTTTGTTTGCTGACAAATGAAGTTGAATACAGTCACTATAAATAGTATTTGGAATCATTATTCTTTTAAAAACTTACTTTAGCTCCACATTTTTCAATATAGGCATTAAGTTTTCCAGCTTTATAAAATGGTATCTGTAACAACAAAATAACAAAAAGCCACAATTATAAAAATTACTTAACACAAATATATTACTAAATAATGCAATACATAAAGAATTTAAACATTATCCAGAAGCAGACTCATCATCAGGTTGTCATCCTAATGGCTTCTATGCTTTGGAGAAGCAAGTGATAATCATTCTCTCTCTAAAATAGAATCTATGGGTATGTTCTCAAAGTGAGGAAAAGCCTTTCTGAGAGTGACATGAACCTAGAAAAGGAAAAGGCTAATAAATTTCATATGATATGTAACAACTTTCTTAGTAAACAGTAACTTCCTAGGCATAAGAAAAATGGACACAAATCCAGAGAATATTCAAAAGGCCAAGGTGCTACAATTAATCAGTGACAGAAACAGAAATCAGAGAAGATATTTTTAACCCAACAGACTGGCAGATATGTAAAGGGAGCTGGTAACTGATGTTTATGAGGATGTGGAAATACAGATTATCTCAATATGCTATTAAAATGCCATCTAGTATATATAAGCTTTTCAGAGAGTGATTTAGCATTACCTAGATTATAGTTTAAAATGTACTGCAATCTCACTTCTAGGAATTTAACCCATAGAAACTATCAAATAAAAGTGATATAATTGCAATGAAGCTTTCTGAAGTGTTATAGTAGTACAACCAGAAACTCAGATGTGCACTAGAAAATATTAACTAATTATATACCCATACAATGAAATATTTCACAGCCTTAACAATGAATAAGATATATGTTTTGGCATAGAACATTCAGAAGAGGCTGTTCAAGGGGAAATTAAAGGCAAGTTTCAAAATAGTATGTAAAAAAATCCCATTTCCTACTTTAAATATTTTCAAAAAAATTTATAGTATGTAATATCTTTGTAAGAAAACAAAACATTTCTAGATGGCTACTTTCCTTTTTTTATTCTTTTTTTTTTTTAATTCTTGCTAAGATTAGGATGCTTGAATTTATAAGAACTGTGAAACAATGACCACCTTGTTCCAAAAGAGGTAGTGGTGTTTACTTGTCCATCAACAGCTTATCTTATTTATTTTTTAAAGATTTTATTTATTTATTCATGACAGACACAGAGAAAGAGAGAGAGGCAGAGACACAGGCAGACGGAGAAGCAGGCTCCATGCAGGGAGCCTGATGTGGGACTCAATCCCGGGTCTCCAGGATCACACCCCCGGGCCGAAGGTGGCGCCAAACCGCTGGGCCATCAGGGCTGCCCAGCTTATCTTATTTAATAGCAGCAATGTCCACAATAGCCAAACTGTGGAAGGAGCCTCAGTGTCCATCGAAAGATGAATGGATAAAGAAGATGTGGTTTATGTATACAATGGAATATTCCTCAGCCATTAGAAATGACAAATACCCATCATGTGCTTCAACGTGGATGGAACCTGGAGGGTATTATGCTGAGTGAAGTAAGTCAATCGGAGAAGGACAAACAGTGTATGTTCTCATTCATTTGGGGAATATGAATAATAGTGAAAGGGAATATAAGGGAAGGGAGAAGAAATGTGTGGGAAATGTCAGAAAGGGAGACAGAACATAAAGGCTCCTAACTCTGAGAAACGAACTAGGGGTGGTGGAAGGGGAGGAGGGCGGGGGGTGGGGGTGAGTGGGTGACGGGCACTGAGGGGGACACTTGACGGGATGAGCACTGGGTGTTAATCTGTATGTTGGCAAATTGAACACCAATAAAAAATAAATTTATTATTTAAAAAAAGATAACAAAAATGAGAAAATAATAGATATATACCCATATAACCTAGAAGAAAAATAAAGGAGCTAAAGATTTTTTTTGATGGCTTGTTAGTATTAATAAACGTTCATTTCACTAGATTCTGAAGAATTAAAATCTCAGAAAAAGATTTTCAGAAAGATTTTTGACAAAAATCTCAGGATAATATAATTTTTATAAAATTTTTTGGCATTTCATTATCATTCCCAGTGACATACAGCACTGGGAAATACGTTTCTCATTCTAATTTTATTATTAGTAATTTTTTTAAAGTTCTAAATTAAAAAAAATTTTCAATCTAAGTTCTTTAAAAACAATCGGAAAAACGTTGGAATGAGAAAATTCTTCCTTTATATTAAGTGGAATTCTAAAGGATAAAATAGAAAAAAATGATTAAGCCCATGCTATCTTAAAAACATGCTGTAATATTTTTTCATGAATAGTCTTATATTAGCATTTGTGACAAAAAACTAAATATTAAATTAAAACCACAAAAAATGAATTTTAAACATCAGGTATATCAAAGTTGAAGTCTATAAATGGTTCAATCAATATACAACACAGGTAATTTGGCTTCATAAACTACCTTAGAGCTATAATTAATATCCGAATTATTGCTTATCAATATTGCTCCCAATAATTAGTAATAATACTTCTTAAAATTTTAAAATACTAACCGCCATCACTACCCAAATTTGGCTTAATATTCCAGGCACAGGTGATACAAGAATATCTTGGTGCATATATAGCAATTGCCTGTGGGAAATGAAACACAGAATTTTATTTTTTTTTATTTTATTTATTTTATTTTATTTTATTTTATTTATTTTTGAAACAGAATTTTAAAGTGGACTTCTCCTTTGATTTTACTTTATCAGAACATTTTGAAAACTGCTTAGTTCTATCTAAAAGTTTACATTTTTTTCTAGGGAAGGAGTGTGTTATTGACTTCTCTCTCTCTCCCCATGCTTAACTTGGTAACTTGAACATTTAGCTTTTCAGCCAAGATTTAAGAATGTTAAAAGGTTTCAGAAATTGATATGAAAACTTGTCCCTGCCTCTGAGTTTCCCAATCTCTTTCATCCATAACTTCTTCAGCTGTAACTCCATTTCTGTCCAAATAGAGATTTGAAGATGTCTAAATATTGTTAGGAATCCAGCTTTTCTACCTTCTATTTCTTCTATTTTCCATTTTTTAAGTAGTGGTCAGGAGGCACTGGAGGCAAGAGTCCAAGGATTCATCTATCAGTGATCAACTACTTCAATGTTAGAACTATTGACTAGATGCTTTTCCTTCAAAAAGGAAATTTTTTCCAAGCCAAAATAAAATGGTGATTTTATTTTAAGCATTCAACAGCCAAATGAACAATAAAATCACAATTCAAAATATCAACAGGTTTGTTTCAAAGGTCAATGAAAAGGTGGATAAAACACATGAAAAACTTCAAAATCAACCATCAAGAAAACAAACTGCAAAAAATATGAGAGTGTGTGGCAGGGAGAAGTTCCCTTAAAAAGTAGGATGGGCCAGTTTGTTTCTGGTCAGAACCCTGGCACAGAGCTAGGCGCAGTAAGTACTTGGTTTTACAAGGGCTGCCTTTATCTGACACAGCTAAGTCTCTTCTCAACCTGTTCCAGCCTCTTTAGCAGTTACTGGGACAGTGAGTCAAGACACGTCACTCTGCGGGGATGACTACCTTCAATTTGAGGGTAAACAACAGAAAATCTCAGGTTTTCCACCTATTTGTTTCCAAAAGAAGTCAGGTAAATGTTCAGTAGGTATCAAACTACACCTTAGCACACAGCGTACAGACGCCTGGATATACTTGAGTGGGAAAATAAACCAGAAGGAAAGTTTTGTAAATAAGAGCAAAATGGGAGGACATTCCAAGAGTGTCTTATTTCTGATTCCTAGCAATCTTATGTTTGTTCCTCTCCAAGAAATCCAGTGACAGATCTAATCTTAATAGGTATTCTAAGAGTCCTTCTTTGAGTGACTCAAACAATTTAAAGGACAAATAACATGGTGGGTCTTCACCAATCATGAAGTTATACTTCAGGCTTCACCCAAGCTGTTTTTCAAAGACTATCCTGGGTCAGTCAGACATTTCAAAATAGTTCTTAGAGAAATACTCTTTAGAAATCTTATGTTGACCTGCAAATTAAACTGCATTTTTCTAAAATGTTTATAGTATCTCTTAAAGTGCCCATAAACAGTTGGTATTCAGTGAATATTCATTAATCTCTAAGTTTTTGAGAGCCTGATTTATCAATATCCATAAAAGATTTATATTAAAAAGGGTAAAAAAAAAAAAAGGGATCCCTGGGTGGCGCAGCGGTTTGGCGCCTGCCTTTGGCCCAGGGCGCGATCCTGGAGACCCGGGATCGAATCCCACGTCGGGCTCCCAGTGCATGGAGCCTGCTTCTGCCTCTCTCTCTCTCTCTCTCTCTCTCTCTCTGTGACTATCATAAATAAATAAAAAATTTAAAAAAAATAAAAATAAATAAATAAAAAGGGTCACAAACATAAAAACTCGTGATATTCAATCTCAAGTATTTTAAGTCCTCCCCTAAATGTAATCCAACATACCTGGCCAGAACAAAACTGAATTTCTTTATTTAAAATCATATACACAGATTAAATGAAAGACTATTTTGTTTTAAAGGAGATACTTCTAAAACAGCTCTTACAGGTCTCAAAAAATTTAGAAAGCCTTACTTATAAAATGTTTTACCTGCACATCTTCATTTGTGTACTCCTAATTTCAGTATCTGCCACCTGATTACTCAGTATTATCTTGACAGCACAGAGTTTGTATAAATCTGGAGGTGTGATGAAGAACAGTGATTGCTGTCTAGGATCATCCATGTTTTCCCGCTGACTGAATGTCTCAGCTCTCAGGCCTTTAAAAATAAGCAGCAATCAAATGGTCATAAACTGTCTTACCAAAAGGGTTTTACTACCAACTCACCACAGAATATTTGATATTGTGTTGGAATAAGATAATAAAAACAAATTAGCAGGCTTTAGCATTTAAATATCACTAACATTTTACCTGTAAGAATTGTTTGGGGGGCTTGGGGGGCTCAGTCAGTTGAGCAACTGACTCTTGATTTTGGCTTAGGTCATGATCTCAAAGTTGTGAGGTCAAGCCCAAGGTGGACTCTGTGCAGTGGGGAGTCTGCTTGAAATGCTCTCTCCTTCTGCTCCCCAACATACACTTGTGCTCGTTTGCTCTCAAAATTTTTATTAAAAAAAAAAAAAACAATTGTTTAACCTGTTAAAGCTTCTTGGTACAAATTTTATCAAGATGTAATATAAATAAAGGACGCCTGGGTGGTGGCTCAGTGGTTGAGTGTCTGCCCTCAGTTTAGGGCATGATCCTGGAGTCCTGGGATTAAGTCTTGAATCAGGCTTTCCGTGGGAATCCTGCTTCTCCCTCTGCCTATGTCTCTGCCTTTGCATCTCTCATGAGTTAAATGAAATCTTAAAAAAAAAAAAAAGATGCAATACAAATAACCTCCAATTCACCTTTTTATATTATAATATTCAGTGGTTTTTATTATGTTCAGATATGCAACCATCATAATACATATGAGAAAATTTCCATCAATCTCAAATTAGAAGCCTGAAGTTCTAGAAGTAAAATAATTTGAATACAATAAAATGAAAATAAGCTATTTATTAAATAACTATTCTAAACTAGATACTAGATATATTTTTATTATCTTTACTTAATAAACTTCCAAAGTTCTTGGCTATCTTGTTTCATTTGGTTTTCAGAAAAAAAAATATTTCCTATGATAATTTTTTGAATATCTAAATGTATAGCAAAGTCTATTGTTTCAGGTTAGCTGATAAAGCACCTCAAGGTTGAATACATTTTTCATCTTTTTATATGAAAAGTATTTACTAAAGTCTCTAATTTTTGTTATTTTCTTTTTCCAAAATTACTTAGCTTGAAAACATGTTTGGAACATATTTTATACTTGATAGTTCACATAATATCTCTGAAGTCTATCCTATGTATTAGAGAAAACTGGAATGTTAAAGTAGCTGAGTTAATTAAAAAAATAAAATAAAAAATAAAGTAGCTGAGTTAAGCTCAGTTTCGGTCCTGTGCACGCATAGAGCAGGGGGAAGGTAACGGAGACTCGAGTACTTCACATTTTTTAAACATCAATATATATTTTTTCCCTTTAAGAAGAAAAGTAATCTTCTATCTGCCCTGGAATCTGAGGTAAGACCAGTCTTACGCGTGATCTCAGAAACCAAGGGTGTTGTGTCATGAGGACTGCAGGCAGTGCCCTTCGGGCTGGTCGCACAGCATCCTCATTCGAGAACCAGTGTTCGAGATGTTCATCTCGAGAGGACCACTCGCTTCTTTTAAAATGGGAAATCCTTAGAAATGTCAACACAAATTCCCACCAGGTGTTGATGACCTCGTTAACAGGACTGACACCATCCAGACAATCTTCCTTCTCCTTTCCTGCTCTAGCTCCCATTTTTAACACGTACTGTTCTGAAAAGTCTATTTTTTTCATAGAGATTTTATTCATTTAAGAAAGCGCTCCGGGGAGAGGGAGCAGGAGCTCCCCACTGAGCAGGGAGCCCGATGCGGGGCTGGACCCCAGAGCCCTGCGATCATGAGCTGGGCCAACGGCAGACATGTCTCCGAGTCACCCAGGCGCCCCTTTAAGTGAAAAGTTAAGTGACAAGTTCCAAAGCAAAGAAACCTACTTCCCAATTTTGCCTAAAATCCTTTCTCTGAATCATTACCCTAAGCGGCATCAAAAGTGAAGGTGCCAGAACACACAGAGCCCATCAGGCCCTGGGCCATAATTCGTTAGTGTCACTTGCAATCCATTTCCCACTGGAATGACTGGTTTTCCCTTGAACGGCTTCCAGCAGCGGCCGGGTGAGCAGCTGCGGGCCTGCAAAGGCTGCGCAGAGAGCTCAGGGCGGCCGGAGCTCGGCCTGTCCTCCCTCGCCTGTCCTCGGCCTGCCTCGGCCTGCCTCGGCCTGCCTCGGGCGCGGTCTGGGTTCAGGACCCCAGAGGGGGGCGGCTGGCAGGGCTCGGGCCCATCTCCCGGGTAGCCAGGGCCGCAGCAGGTGCAGCGACGGAGCGGTGGGCCTCCCCTCCCCGTCCCCTCTGCCCCAGGCCAGGGAGCCTTCCCTCCCCCACTCCCCTGGGGCCTCGTGTTCTCCCCGGCGGTGACGCGGTGACGGTGACGGACGGACCGCGTGGGGAGCAGCCCCCACACGCTGCCTCCAGGAGTCAGCGGGACACATGGCCACCCGGGGCTCCGTCCCGCCCGGCTCCACCAGCACAACCGGCCCACAGAGACCCGCCGCGCTTGGCGGGACGCCGACACGGGCCCCCACGCGGACTGCCCCCTGAGGGGGACGCACAGGCCTTCTCCCTCGCCCAGAGGTCTCCCAGCCTGGCCGCTAAGGCACCTTCGCCTTCCGCTACGACGGCCCGCGCTCCTCAGCCGCCGCCTCCGCGCTCTCCTCACAGCCCTCTGGCGGCTGCTCCCAGCATGCCCCGCGTTCCTTCCCAGCATGCCCACACCCCCGACACGCCCCCGTCGCGCGGCCTCCTGGCGCGACGGCGCTCCTCGCTGTCCTCGAGGCTGCTTCCGCTCGCCGCACGAACCACGTGCTGCCGCCAGCATGCCCCATGTGCGCCACGTGACCCTCTCCCAGCATGCCTGCCGCCCGGCCGCAGCCGCTGTGCTCTGGGCTCCCGGCGTGCCCTGCGCGCCACATGCGCCCTCCTGGCCTGCCCACGCTCCTCAGCCGCCGCCTCTGCGCCGTCCTTGCTGCTCTTGGCACTGCGCCCTGCGGCGTGCGGCACGTGCACGCTCCCGCCATGCCCTGCGCGCCCCGGCTCTTCCCGCCAACGCCGCTGACGGGGCACGTGCCGACGGTAGCTGCAGTTCCCTCACAGAGGCGCTGGGCTTGGGGCCGGCCGGGCCCGCACGCGCCGCCTGGCAGCCTAGAGGGAGCGGACGCGCCGATTTTCCGGGCCCACAGAGACAAGCGCGCCCTTTGCGTCCCTGAAAGGCCCGTGGCAACCGAACCGTCCCGGACTGGAAGGTTCCGCCGTGCTTTGGCACCGCAGCCGGGTGCCAGGGCCTCTGGGCGCCTCTCCCTCCTGGGACAGGTATTTAGGAAGCGCCTGCTGTGTTACTGGAGGTTTTCCGGGGGTTGGTGATGGACCACGAAGCAAACAGTGCGCCCTGTGCTCGCGGACCTTGCGTCTTACATGGTGACTGAGGGACAGAAGACGGGATAAATGAGCAGCACCTGAGGGGGTGGCTGGCGGTGGGTGCACCGAGAACCATAAAGTGGGGCGGAAAGCCAAGGGGTGTTGGGAGAGGTCAGCAGGCCTCGAGAAGACACGAGGGCGCGGGTGGCTACACCGGGTAGGCGGGGAGGCGTCAGGGGCCGAGGCAGGACGGTGGCCGGCGGCTGTCCTGGAGCCCCGAGCGCGGAAGCAGGATGCACAGTGCTAGCCCCACGCCGTGCAGGTGCGGCGGCGGGGGGGCGGGCGGGGGGGGCACCTGGGTCGCCGTGCCGAGGATGGACGGATGGGATGATGAGGGCAGGGCTGCGCGGGGGGGCTTGGGCTGTGACACTTTAGTTACATTAACTTCATTAAATTTAGTTAATTGACCAAATTAACTTTATTAATTAAATGCAACTAGTTAGTTAAATCTAACACGTTTGGGACACGGATGGACAGGGGGTCTCAGACGAGCAAGTGTAATTCCGAGGTGTTTGCGCTGAGGACTTGGGAGGAGGGGAGGCCGTGGGAGGGGTACGTTTGGGCACGCAGGTCTGGAGGGGTGTGGTTTCAGACACGTCCATACTGGACAGTGAAGAGCATCTTGCATGTAATGGACGGTATTTAAAGCCGAGTGAGTGAGTGTAGGAAGAATAGAAGACTGCAGCATAAATTCCCGCAGATAGAAGCAACCTCGTAGTGGAGCGCCAGGATATTTTATTATTTAAATAAAATAATAAATATTTTATTATATTTGTAGTATCTTTATTATTTTTATTATGAAGAGCTGTTTTCAACCTCATTTTACCAGGTTCGAAAAGCTATATTGTGAAAGGATGAGATTTTTTATTGTGTTTAACTTAACGTTGGATCCATTAGAGTGATTACTTTGTATTTGCATGATAAACTTTGGTAAAGGGGAGTACTTTCTGGTGTCTTCCTGACTCGGTTGGAAAGTGCTAAATACTTGTTTGGTCACCTGGGAGATTATGGTGAGTGATTAATTATCACAGGATTGATGAGCAAATTGAGCCTCCTGTGACACACTTTGCAGTATTAAGTGAACAAAATACAATCTTCTGAAACAAGCATACCAACAAATAAGCTTTTTGTCTTATTTCTGTAAAGATTTATTTGTTAGAGTGGGCAGGGCTCCCACCAGCCCAAGTCCCAGAAAAGGGGAAGCCAACTTCTCACTGAATGTGGAGCCCAAGGTGGGGCTAGATTTCTTGACCCGGAGATCATGACCTGAGCCCAAATCAAGAGTTCCTTCCTAACCGACTGAGCCACCCAGGCGCCCTGTCCTAAACTTTTACAGTCTGGTTATATGTCAGCAATCACTGGAATTATGAAAACAAACCTTTTAAGATTTACAGAAAAGCTCTTTATCTTACCTGGTATATACACACATAGGGAAAAAAATTGCATGAAGACAAGGTCAAAAATGTAGATTCAGTTTGAATCTTATAAATGCATATATTCAATAGCTTATCTATTTAAATAGTGGTAGTCTAGCGTTTTGCATTCTGAAAAGCACATCTGTCAGTACTTTGTGTTCTTAATACCTCTGGTATTGAACTTTTGGTTTTTGGCTTCAACAGTTTTAACAAG